AACTCCACCAACAGTGCATTAATGTTCCAAATTTCTCACATCTTCAACATTTATCATTTTCCTATTTTGTCATGTTAGCCAAGCATATGTGATTTTTCAGATGGCATATGTAGATGCCAATTGCTCTCTCTCTCCCCTCTCTCTCTCTCTCTGTCTCTCTCTCTCCTCTCTCTCTCTCTCTATCCAAGGAGTGTCTATGACACATTCTTTCCTTTAGCAACTAATTCCCTCTTCTTTCTAGTTTCATATATGCTGGAAATGTCAGCTTCTTCAGTAGGATTTATGCTCAGGCAGTGGTCATTTAAACACTAAAAAAGAAATTAAAGTTGATAATTGTTTTAAAAACCATACAATTGTTAGTGCTCTCCATTTTCCAAAACTCCTGCCACTCTGGCAGAAATAAATGTGAAATGTATAGCCTCAAGGGCTATTTTATATATTTCTTTGTTCCTTGGGTTTCTTGAGTTGCCATGGCCATTAGTATGACCTTATCCATACTTATCTAGTCTGGACCTTAGAAAGTAGTTAGTCTATTATTGAAATTATATGTAAAATGTTTACGGCATGACAGAAATTGACAAATTGACCTTCTATTGGCAAAGCCTTCCAGAACCTAAAAAATGATCAGTGTATCTTATATGTGGTAAGGATCAAGCAATATCACAAAAAATTGAATATATTTTAGCACACATAAAAGACTTGATATTGATGTGGGAGTCATTCCTAAATTGTCAACTTGTACACAGACAGAGCATAAACATATTAGAACAAAGATCAGAATTAGTCAAACTTCAGAAGAATAATAAGAAAACTCTTACATATAAATAAAACTCAATTCTGCAGTATTTTAAAAACAATAATTTATTTCAACATGACAGCTCTTCTTTTGGAAGAAGAAAAACATCTCATGTATGTGCGTGGAGCCGTAGGAAGAAGGAAATAGCTTCACTGAAAGTGTAGCAACTTCTGTGATAGAGGCACTGGGCTACGCTAAGCATATCCAAGCTTTTGTGTGACCCAGGTTTGGATGGGAAAAGGAATCTGTGTGCCAAAAAGTTTGAAGTCCTACAGATTAGGAATGCTGTGAATCCACTTTCTGCCCATCGACTGACTTTCCACTTTCTGGCATCAGTATGAATTCAGAAACCAATTTTACTACACCACTAAGGGAGTAAGCCTTAAAGTTCTTAGAAGTGGAATGAAAGTTGTTTTGTTTTAAGTCCTTGCTTCTTGAGGATACATATGTGTGGTGTGCTCACTGGTACATATACACTCAAATATGCACGTTAAAATGATTTCAGAGAATGGCAGGAATTATTTAGAAAACCTTTTTTTATATAAATATTTTTGTAACTTAAGGATTTAATTTAATTAAAAATGAAGTATGAATTGAAATTAAATTGTATAAGTGTGGAAATATATTGTGACTTGGCCTTTCCCAGATTGTGTCACACCTACAGAAAATTTAATAGATCTCAAGAAACATGAATTATTGTGAAGATTCCCATTTTCATGAAGAGAGTTGAGAAATAAAAAAAAGAAAACTAGCTCTATAAAAAAGATCTACTGTTTAAAAATTAATTATCCAATCATTCCATATGCATTTATTAAGTACCTAATATATGCTAGGCTTTGTGCTCAGCACTAAGAATACAAATACAATGAATGAAAAATTGCCTCTTCTCAAGGTGTTTCCATTTTTATGGGGAGATATGAAGTACATGCAAAAGTACCTACAGAATAGATATAAAGGGAATAAGTATAAGTAAAGCAAAAAGGTTAAATGCAAGTAATTGTTGAAGGAGGGAGTTAGCTGTTAAAAGGATCAGGAAAGGCTTTGCATAGAAGGTGGTTATTGACCTATATAAGGAAGGAAAGAAATGATTCTCTAAGGAGGAAGTGAATTTCAGGACTGGAGAACCACCAGTGCAAGACAGGAAAAGACAGATGGAGTATCGTGCATGAATTAAAGAAAGAAGCCAGTCTGGCTGGACTGCAGAGTGTGGAAATAGGAGTGAGATCCAGTAAGTCTAGAAAGATTGATTGGTACCAGGTTGTGAAGAGCTTTAAACGCTAAACAGAGAAGCTTGTGTTTCATCCTAGGCACAATGGGAAAACACTTGAGTTGTTGAAGAGTGAAATGACACGTTCAAATATGAATTGACAGAAAATCACTTCTACCACAGTAAAGAGGTTAGGCTAGAATTGTAGGACTTTGTTGTAATAATCGAGGTGACATGTGATGAGTGTCTAAGCTAAAGTGGTGTGTCTGTGAGTAAAGTATCATATGTTAGAGATGTTGCAGGATAAGAGAGAGATAAAAGATCACTGAGGTTGTTATCTGCAGGAACAAATGGGAGATGATAGGAATGTATAGAGTGTTTGCTTTGGCAAGGAGATGGGCCACCTGATTACTTCACTGCCAGAAATTGGGTGAAAAGAGAAAAAAATGTGATGGATGAATATTTTTGGAATAAAGGGGAGAAGGAGAAAATCACATCAAATGACTTCAACCTTTTTTCTGTAAAGTAAGAGATAGCAGTCTTCTATACCCAAAGGAGATGAGAAATGGAAAAATGTGAGAAGTTCGAAGGAAGAGGTTAGGAATTTCTTCTGTGGGGGGGGGGGTACACCAAGAACCATTAGGAAGAAATAAACAGATTATCTTGTTGTTGCAGTAAGGATTTAGTTGAGGTTGAATACCATTAATTTAATATGTACTCCAACAGCATTCATGTGTGACTTCCTTTCACTCAGTTCAGCAGCTTATGAGAATGAGAAAAGGAGACAGATGATAGGAATATTACCAGATTTGATATTAGTAATATTGAAGTTTGAGAAAAAATGGACAGTGAGACAGAAGATGAAGTGATTCGAGAGCAGGGGATAGTATAAATTTGAAGTGGCTAACTATAGGGTCAGGATTGGAAATGGAGAAAAGTGAAGTTAGAGTAGGCAGTGGCTGAGAAAGAACTAAATGATGGAGGCAAAAGAGATACCAATTTGCATGAAGAATAGGTTTTGGAAGAGTGATAAATAGGGAGGGATGGCTTGTAAGGAGTTTATGGTGAAACAGAAGAATGCGAGAGCATTGAGTGTAACCTGACCCATAAATGAGCTGCATTTGGGGTAGGAGAGCAGTGCAATCATGTGTGCCATGCTGATGCCAACCTGCATGTCTGCATGAAGGGTGGAACTGGTATGAGAGCTTTGGAGAGAAGAGATAATCCTCATTTCTGTTATAAGGGAGGACACCTGTAATTCCACTTGTTATTCCTGCTTTCAAGGTAGGGAAGAGGGGGAAGAGAAGGTAGTAACACATTATTTCTACCTCCTTCATAGGGTTGCTATGAAGAGCAGATGGGATGTTATACATAAAAACACAGTGAAAAATATAGAATCATATAAATATTTTATTATTTTTTTCTTTATTCTGATATTTTACTCTGGTTTGTCTCTAGTCATCTTCCAGGTAGAAAATTTTATGGCAAATCTCAATCCAGGATTTTTTAATTATTCTGTTCAAAGTGTAAGCATGAAAAAAATAAAAGCATTTAATATACATCAACTTTTAAAAAATCTAGTCTGTGCAAGTATTTTCACTTAAAAAAATAGAGTCCTGGGCAGAGAGATTAAATGGATTCTTCCATCTATCTATCTATCTCATCTATCTATCTATCTATCTATCTATCTATCTATCTATCTATCTACACATAGATAGTTATACACATATATTGTATGTGAATGTGCATTTGTGCATATATCAATTGTTCAATCAGGAACATCGTTGTATCTGCTTATACAATTCATAAGACATAAAACTTGCTTTCCATTGTAAAAGATATATGTAATCATAAATTGGAGAATAAAAGATTTTCTTCAGTATGGTGAGCTTTAATTAGAAAATTCCCTCCATAAATGCAGATCTGCAAATATTTTGCAATTGCTAATCTTAGAAAGTTGCCTGAGGTTAATTGACTTTCCCCAGGTCACATGGCCATGATATTTCAAAGATGAGGCTTAAACACTGGTCATCCTGAATCTGAGGTCATCTGCTATACCATAATCCTCATTGAATTTTTTGCAAATAAATTTTTGTTCATGTCCTTTTTAAAATATCATCAAAATTTCCCCCTTTCCTTTGCAGAAAGTTACTCCTTAAAATAAATAATACATATTAAGCACACAAAAAAAGGAAAACAAAAGTGAAAAAAAATCAGCAAACAATAATACATGACAAAATTCAGAAAATACATGAACTGAATCACAGTTGGACCTCCTACTTCTGCAGATGGGTGGAGTGGGCATATCTTATGCTGTTTCTTCTCTAGAGACATATTTGTCTTTGGTAATTCTGCAACATTCATTTTTGACTTTTTCATTTCCATGTTGTTTTAATCATTGTGTATATTGTTTTCTTGACTCTCCTTATTTCACTCTGCCTTAGTTGATATAGACCATTCCACGCTTCTTCCTATTCACCATGTTTATCATTTGTTACAGTACAATAATATTTCATCATAATAATGTACTATTATTTTTTTAGCTATTCTCAATTGTAGAGCACCTATGTTGCTTCTAATTCTCCATTACAAAGCATGCTGCTCTAAATATTTTGGGTACGTATCTGGGTCAAAAGGTATGAATATTTTAGCAAATTTATTCATGTACTGCCTCTTTAAGGATATGTAAAAGGATTCTCCCTCTCCTCCCTCTTGAAAAGAGTTTTTTTCTTTTTTTTTCTTTTTTTTTTTTTTACTAAGAGCAGAATTGTAAACTAATTATATGTCACTTAGTAAAAGTTTGGCTTTAAAGAATAGGTATCCTGTGTACCTTTGCTTTCTTCCCTCTTTCAGAGGAGAGAAAGTACTTTTTAGAGAAGAAGAGGGTGGAGTTCTTCAGCATGAGGTAGAATTTATGGATCCAGAATGAGGGAGGAGTGAGAACAAGAACAGGGACAGCAGAGGGATCTGCTGCTTCAGTCTCATCCCTGAAACAAGATGGTGAAGGGCAGAGTTAACAGATTTGGCCATATTGGGTGCCTGGTGACCAGGGGTGCATTCACCTCAGGTGGAGTAGACATCATGGCTATCAATAACTGCTTCATTGACCTCAATTACATGGTTTATATGTTTCAGTATGATTCCATGTATGGCAAGTTAAAGGGCACTGTCAAGGCAAATCTGAGAATGGAAAGCTGGTGATCAATGGAAAAGCCACTACCATCTTCCTGGAGTGGGATCCCTCCAGTATTAAATGGGGAGATGCTGGAGCTGACTATATTGTAGAGTCCAGTGGAATCTTTACCACTATAGAAAAGCCTGGGGCTCACTTGAAGGGTGGAGCCAAGAGGGTCATCATCTCTGCCCCTTCTGCTGATGCCCCAATGTTCATGATGGGAGTGAACCATGAGAAATATGATAATTCTCTTGAGATTGTCAGTAATGCTTCCTACACTACCAAATGCTTAGCACCCTTGGCCAAGGTCATTCATGACAATTTTGGCATTGTGGAAGGATTCATGATTACAATCCATGCAATTACTGCTAACCAGAAGACAGTAGATGGCCCTTTTGGTAAGCTGTGGTGTGATGAATGTGGTACTGCCCAAAATATCATCCTTGCTTCCACTGGTGCTGTTAAGATTGTAGGCAAGGTCTTATGTGAGTTGAATGGGAATCTCCCAGTCATGGCCTTCTGTATTTCTACTTCCAACTTGTCTGTTGTGGATCTGACCTGCCACCTGGAGAAACCTGCCAAATATGGTGATATCAAGAAAGTAGTGGAGCAAGCATATCAGAGGGATACTTGGAGGGCATCTTGGGCTACACAGAGGACCAGATTATATCTTGTGACTTTAACAGCAACACCCACTCCTCTACCTTTGATGCTGGTGTTGGTATTGCCCTCAACAACCAATTTGTCAAGCTTATTTCCTGGTATGACAATGAGTATGGTTATAGCAACTGTGTAGTAGACCTCATGGTCTACATGGCCTCAAACAAACAAAATAGAAAGCCAGGGACCTTCATCCTCAGCCAAAAATAGGAGTTCAACCACTGGAGAGGCTACGTTCCTAACCTACATTCCTATACTAGGATTCCACGTCCCATTCACATCCTTGTCCCAAAGCATCCCTGAAGTAGGGGGGAGAAGCCTAGAGTCCTATATTGTGTAACATCAATAAAGTCACCACATTCAGTGCAGAACAAAAGAATAGATACCTAATAATTAGTAGTTAGTACATAAAATTCTTAGCAAAGCTAGACACATCTTACATGGTTATTATCTTGCTGGTATGTACATGATTACTTCAAAAGTACATGGAAATCGTTTCTCTTCTTTCATCTATAAACTATGAATTTTCTTTATGTTCTTCTTTGCTGTAGTCATTTTCACTAGGATATTGGAAATGTCAACTTCAATTTTAACAGCTAGCTCAATTATCACAAAGTCCAAACAATCAAGGGCCAAATAGTATAGTCTTTCTCTAGAAAATGCCCTATTTCACCAATGGCTCGGATCAGTCAGAGGTAACACAATTGGTATTCAAGTTCATAAGAATAGCTATCATTGGGTAACAGTTCTTTCTTATAGGGGAAAAAAAAAGTCTTTGGGTTTTGTTGATCTCCAGAATCAGAATGACACAGCGACAAACAAAACAAAACAAAAATCAAAAGTGATAATTCTGCTGTACTTTGCCTAAGTTAGACAGCTGGAATACTGTATGAAGTTCTGGGTGTCATACTTTAGGAAAATTTTTATGCACACATATACACACAATATAACATATTTACTCACATGTGTGAGCACACACATACATGCACATATCCATCCATATATCCATATACCTATATACATACATGTATACTCATACACATAGACATAGACATAGACATATTTCTATATATATGTCTGGGCAGCTAGCTGGCACAGTAGGTAGAGTGCTGAGCTTGGAGTCAGGAAAATTCATCTTTTGAGTTCAAATCTGGCCTCCAACACTTATTAGCTACCTGGCCCTAAGGAAGTTGTTTAACCCTGTTTGCCTTAGTTTCCTCATCTGTAAAATGAGCTGGGAAGAAAACAGCAAGCCATTTTAGTATCTTTGTTAAGAAAACCCCAAGTGGGGGAAGAGTCAGATACAACTGAAAAATGACTAAATAATTGAAAAAATGTAATTTTGGGATTCTGGGATAATGTGATAGAAGGAAAAAAGAGATTTGAAACTTTAACTTAGAGCAGACATTCTTTCAGAAAGCATCTTTAGCAATTTATTGCTCAAAGGAGTAAGTATAAAGTAATGCCTACAGATTTAAACCTCCCACAGTGAAATTAACCTAAGTAACCTCTACTATTTGCCTTGAAGTTGATATGAGCTGTTATGTGTAGATAATAGTAGGATCACTGACTGGACCATTAAATGCTGACATACTGATAGAATCCCTTGTAATGTATATTGAATGAAAAAATTACACACAATGTACCTTGTGATATTAATTTTCTCCTTAGGCTGTCTCAAATGCTTTCTAGACAAAAATTTCCAAAACAAAAATTAAAAGAGTTGTCCCCACTCTTCCAATTTTGGATACTTTCTTTTCTGTACAAATTATATTTCAAATGATGGTAGCCTAGAAAACAAATTATCTTCCCACAGCAGTATATTGAATCATGTATTTCATTATTGAAGAACTGAACATATTCCTTTAAAGCAGCCTTTTGTGTAGACATCTGCAATGATGTGCTTTGAAACTAGTTATAGGAAAAGTTTTTACTCACGGCCTCTATTTAAAAGAAAGAAAATTTCTCACCATTTAAAGGGACATTTGCCTGATTAGTGATGGAGAACATGCTGGTGCTTTGAAGAAGTTAAAGAAAGTTATCTAAATGACACTGATACAGTAGAATAGAAAGGACATTTGTAATCCAAGGTACAGGGTTCAAATCTTCACATTGCCATTTAATTACTTGTTTCAATTAACTCCTTGCTTCACTGAACCAGTTTATACCTTTGTAAAATGGGAATTATACCTGTAACACATCTCACAGAGCTTGTGTTGAATATAGGAAATGGTAACTGGAACAATTGTTTTTACCAGACTGCAAAATGAAGAGAAATTTGATATTTATCTGGGACCCAGATTTTGACAGATTTTATATACAACGATGAACAGTATTTTATCTTGGATATAATAGAGAGCCACTGGGACCTTCCTTAGTGGGGAATGTTATGGTCTTACTTGTGGTTTGGGAATATTAATTTTGTAACAATCAGAGGATAGAAACTGGAATCAGGGAAACTCATAAGGAGGCTATTATGATGGTTCAGATGAGAGATGATGATGGAGCAAACTAGGAAGCTAGTAATAGAAGTGAGGAGAAGGGAGAATTAAAAATATTATTGGCAACTCATTAAATATTGAATCTAGGGTAATGGGGCAGGTGATGAGGGATAGGAAAGAACAAGGCTGATTCCAATCTGGGAGTCTGGATGGGAAGCAGTGCCTTCAATAGAAATTGCCAGAAGGAAAGATGGCAGATCAATAGATTGATTCTGTATTTGTATCCACAAAATAGTAAAAACCTTAGAGGATAGTCTGCAGGACTTGGGTAAATCATTATGGAGGATTTTGTGTGTGTGTGTGTGTGTGTGTGTGTGTGTGTGTGTGTGTGTGTGTGTGCACATGCGCACAGGACAAGAATCCCAGGAAATGAGATAATATGGGTGGGTCGTGACAAATAATTCACAAGAGCCCTGGCATTTGTAGGATTCCAGAGCCATTAGAATATCAAGCCTTACCTTTTCTTCACATAATACTTTGTAAACATTTAAGTGTGCTTTCTATTGTAAGGGTGAGTTATTATGGATATCTCTAATCAAAAAAAAAAGGATGAGGACAGGCCTGAGCTTATTTTAATAATAACTAACATTTTTTAAGGTGCTTTACAAGTTTGCAAACCACTACATGGTTCTTACACATTTTAGTTTCACGGTAACTTTGTAAGATGGAGAGACGTTACATGCATTATCATCCCTTTATCAAAGAAGAGACTCAGAATCAGAGCATTTAAATGCCTTGCTTATGGTTATATAATAAACAAATTTCTGAGGAGGTATTTGACTGTGGGTCATGTGGAATCTATGTGTATCATTCTATCCACTCTGCCTTTTGATTATTTATCACAATTCTACAATGATAATCACCCCTTTTTTCCCCTCCAAAACAAACTTTTTGGTTATTAATAGTGGATAGAGCAATTTATCTGGAGTTAGGAAGACTTGAGTTCAAATCCAGCCTGGGATGCTTATTAGCTGTGTGACTGGTCAAAACATTTAACCTCTGTCTGCCTTACTTTTCTCATCTATAAAATGGGGATGAGAGTACTTATCTCCTAGGGTTGTTGGGAGAATCAAATGAGAGAATATTAGTAATGTACTTTGCAAATCTTAGTGTTAGCTATCTTCATTATTATTACTAGTAGTGGTAATAGTAATAGTAGTAGTATTCTCAAAAAGCATAATTCTCACTTACATTCCTTGGAAGACAAAGACCAACCTTCCCCCAACTTTTTACCAGGAGGACTTCTGTTTTTGGTCATTTTGCAAATGTCTGTAGGAATCAGTGTCTTTTGTTATACAAATTATTGCCCCAATCCCATAGGACACTTTGGCCTGATTAGTGTCTTTGACTACAACACCATGCATTTGCTTGCAGTTGGAATCTCGGGCAACAGCTGCGCTTTGGCAGCTCTAATTTATGTACAAGGTGAGCAGGGGTAGTTGATCAATGTACATATAGCCCAGAGCACTGATATTTTAATTCAAAGACTAATTGTTCTTGAATAATTTAATGGATGCATTAAGCCTAAAAGGGCAAAGAAAATTAGATCTTTTCCCTCTTCCTAGATGTTGCTTTACATTATTAAAAATGCTTTCTGGAGTCATACTCAAACTAATGCTGGTAGGGTCTCAAATTGTACTGTACTTAATCACACATAGTCCCATTTCATTCTAGCATTGCCACACTTCATCGAAACCAAATAGCATTGTTTCACTTTTTATTTCACTTTCGGGCTCTGATTTAGACAGAGGAGAAAATAGATGAACAATTTTAAGCAAATGCAAGTGAAGAGATGGCTATAGTCTTCTAACCCACTTTTTTAAGGAGGTAGTTAATAGCTTCAGTAAAGAAAGTTAGCCTCAAAGCTAGGAAGACAAACTTCTGCCTTTGATATTCACTCACTGTGTTGGGCCCTAGGCAACTCTTTATGACTAAGTTTCAAGAAGGTTGTTAGAGAAAGATTCCCTGTCCCAGCAAAATCTTAGGTCCAGTAGTTATCCCTATCTTTGACCTGGGAGAATAATGAGAGTCAGGTAATTTAAGTGTGGTTAGGAAATCACATCATAGAAAGGTCAGTCGGTATTGAGAAGAAAAGAAATATGTAGCCAATAGGAAGAGAAGGGAAGAAAATCAGAGAAAATAAAGAATGATTTGGTCACAGAAAGAAGTCATATCCACATAAGAAGGTAATAAAAATTTAAGTATAGGTAGGTATCAAAAACAGCAATGAGGTGGTACGTTGGGTAGAGTCCCAGGCCTGGAGTTAGGAAGACTTGAGTTCAAATCTGTCCTCAGACTTTGGCTAGCTTTGTGACACTGAGCAAGAATCTTAACCCTGTGTGCTTCAGTTTCCTCATCTGTAAAATGAGCAGGAAAAAGGAAATAGCAAACCACTCCAACATCTTTGCCAAGAAAACCCCAAATGGGGTTACGAAGAGTCAGATACTACTGAAATGACTGTATAGCAAAATATATCAACTATTATTCTTTGGTAACAAACTAATGTAGTTAGTAAAAACAAACAAATAAGTATGCAAATTAAAAAGAAAAAATTCTCACAATATCCAGAAAGCCTTTCTGGGTCAAATGAATAGTTTTAGAATTCTTCATAATCTGACTCCACCTTATCTTATCAGGCTAATTGCACATTACTCTTTTATAAACACTAGGTTGTAGCAAGAGTAGCTACTTCTTCTTCCCCAAACACAG